TTTTTGCCCGTCATATTTGCAATCATATTGACACGTCGCAGCTACTTGAAAGTCGTCCGCAATCTCATCCTCACATATACACTGGAACCCGCCGGCTCCCACGGCGTATGGGGCCTCGACGACCACTCCTTTATTCCTTACATCTTGGGCTCTGCCCAACTCACTCGGCCCATCTCCACCGAGACGGAACCCATGCCTCTCGAGGGGTCTGTCCGAGGCGCGCCCAGACCCTCCGATGTGACAAATTCTACCGTTGTCGAGGATCAGCGCCAGACCAACATGTATTTTTCCGCCATTGGCTTCATCAATGATGTGAAGAGGGGCCCCTTTTGGGAGCATTCGCCCATTCTGTTTGACATCTCCGGTATCAAAGACGGCTGGGGCAAGATCAACAAGGGCATGATAAAAATGTACAATGCCGAGGTGCTCTCCAAATTCCCGGTTGTGCAGCATTTCCCCTTTGGATCTCTTTTTTCGTGGGACACTGATCCTTCCGCACCCATACCCACGCAGAGCGTTCACATGACGAACCAGCCCATGGCGACGGCGACGGCAGCGACAGGACACATGGCATCTACTACTGGTACGGCAGCACCTTGGGCGCAAGCGACTAGAATGCCGGCGCCGGCACCGCCAGGGCCTGGCATTCCGTATTCCAGAGCACCTCCGGGACCAATCACCGGTTCACCAGGCTCGACCCAGCATCAAAGGGGAGACCCTGCTGGCGGTACCACGGCGGCCCAAATTACCATCACCAAGGCCCCGTGGGCACAGTAGCAAGTACAATGAAGGTGTCCGCATCACGAATAAATTAGTGAGCAGAAGACAATAAACCGTTGACCAGAGGCCGAAGGACTTCAAAAATACTTCAACAATGCCTGTCCCATTAAAGCGATAGACCCAAAAATACTGAGAGACTAAACAACGCACGCATGTACGGTAGACGTGAGGCGTGGGGTATAAGTTGCAGGGCCCCATGGGCATATCGCAAGTCTTTTTTCTCCTCCTGGATGAGTATCCAGCACTCCGACAAAACGTAATCATGGACAAACTAATGTACCATGCTTCAACGTAACAATAACACAGATTGAACAACCCTCCTGCAAAACCACAACGGGGAAAATCAAATAGTATCTTTGAGCAAGTCCATACAGTGCAGCGGATACACGCTAGCATGTGTGTCGGGACTTTCATCGCATTTCGCCGGCCCGTACTTGCTTTCAAGCTGCAGGTTGAGCTGGAGTTGTGGCAGAAGTAGCAGTCGCTGGTGCTTCCGTTTGGGCAGGCTCAACAGCGGGTGCGGGCTCATCTTGAACGGTCGCGGCGGCAGCAGCAGGGGCTGAAAAAGTTGTCAGTACATCGTCGACTTGGGCTGCAAATAAATAAACTGGTTTTTTTTCTTCTTCTTTCAAAACTCACTTGGGACAGCAGCCTCGGCCTTGGACGCCTCAGATTTGGCAGCGGGTGCCTCGGTCTGGGCTGAGGCCTCAGGCTTTACACCTTCTTTTGAAGCTTCCGCTAGACAAAGACATTAGATGACAGGAAAATCTCATTGCATGCGAATGCACAAAAAATAAATAAATAAAATGAACTAAAAGTGAAGACAATGGGGCCCCTTGTGATGCTTTACCTGCGAGAACGGGTGCGTCTAGCTTTGTTTCTGTTGGGCCGCTAGTGGCAGCAGTCGTCGTAGCCGCAGTGGGTGCAGCGGCGGGTGCAGCCGCTTCAGCCGGCTTGGTGGCATCGGCCTTGCTGCCAGCAGCAGTTTCGGTGGGCTTCGATTCACCCTTCTTCTTGAAGACAGCCTTGAGCTTTGCCTTGAGGTTGTCGATAGCGTGGGGAGCTGCCGGCAAATAATCCACCATGTTAGATCAAAGGCCCGAGAATGACAAAATCGCAGGTTGTGTGGAGTAGTTTTGCTTTTGGACCTAAGAACGGAAGAAAACGTACGAATGCCAGGCATCTTAAAGAAAAAAAAAAAAAAACAAAGAGATGAAGCGATTAATAAAACAAAAAAAGAATCGGGAGTTGTGGTGGTAGTATACGGATGGCTGTCTTGGTACAAGCACGGTCAGCATATATCAACATGGTACGTGGACTCGAAATCCAAACATCCCAGTAGCTTCGAGCTCGAGCCTCGAGCTTCGAGCTTCGATTGCAGCAGAGATACTTGAGGCCGGGAGGGGAGTCCACGGTGATGTTACCTGCGTGAGATATAGAACAAGCAAGATAAGCTTGAAGTAAAATGATGCTGCGGTGCTGGACGAGAAAAAAAACGGATACACGTGCAGTCGAGGGAGGGCAAGAAGAAGAGGAAGAAGAAGAAAGGGAAAAATTCAAAAAATTCATAAGTGAACCGGGAAGCAGGTAGGCAGACAGAAGAGGAGGGCAGCCAGCAAACAAGCAAAGCAAGCAAGCAATCGAGAAGGAGGGGCCCAGGTCACACCACTGCCCAGCGCCAACCAGCAACACAAGCTCGCGTGCGTGGGAAAGCTCGACAGCCGTCTCGACTCTTGACTCTCGACCGTCACCAACAAAGCGGCCAGCCGTTGCGGCGTAGCATTTATAAGCAGCCACCTGGCTCAACTTGTCCCTGATGCGTCTTTCTTGGTCGACTTCTTGATCAGAGTCTCTTTATTACACGTCACGAGCAGGGATCCGCTAACATCCAAGAGTCGCCCCGTCGACTCGATCGATACCTGCGTGGTCTGCCGTGCAGTTGACAGTGGGGTTCATTGCCACGCGCCGGACACGCTTTTGCGCGCATGAGGAGAGAATGGCCGGCCACGCTCCAAGCTTGTTGTTGAACCGCGATGGCTATTGTCTACGCGAGATAATCCATTCAGTGTTCTTTCCCCGGGACGAGAGAGAGATGGTGTACATTGGGGCGTCGACCCACCTTTCGACAACGGCGCCCGAAGTGCCAATGAGACGGGTTGTTTGTTGTTGGATGTGGAGCTCGGCCACACGCCAGGTGCTTGGCAGTTGCCAGACTGCCGAATGCATCGAGATGGGATGGGCTGGTATACAGATCAAGATGAACAACAAACGACAAGCTCGAGCTGATGAGCTGCACAAAGGGGTCGAAATCGACAGCATCAAGAACTGTTGGCGCACCTGTCAGCCGTCAAGAGCCCGAATGCCGGCAGACGACATTGCTCTACAAAGTCTTCTGTTTTTGTTTGGTGGCGGGGCTAAACGATTCGAATTAATGAACATGAAAAAAAAAAAAAAAAAAACCTCAGTTCTCAATCAATCGTGTTGACTGAACGAAACTTTGGAAGACAGTATACAAGCTGAATGCACCATGCCATTGAAGAAAAAAAAGATTTACTTGGGCCAAACCGTGGATTGAACACGGGACCTCTTGCAGTTGAGCTGGGTGAACCAATCCCAAAGCAAGAATCATACCACTAGACCATTTGGCCGCTGTTGTAAATAGACCCAATAAATATTGTATATGAGGGATAATCCTTCACTTCCGCTCCCCACACCGTTCCCTCTCGTCCCACCGCTCTCTTGTGACATGGCAGTTGGCTACGGTAGTAGCCTATGCGTCAAGTTTTATATGACCTTTACACCAAATATTTTTTAGACTCTATCTCCTATCCAAGATGAGATGATCTCCCGTGCCGCGTCACTTGGTTCCATGTTTCCTGTGTCTGGTCCGGCATCAACCATTTGGACCCTGCGCGTGGCTTCTTCCGCCCAGCTGTCGATATCCGGCCCATCCCACTTGACACGTTCCTTCAGTTCCACCATATCAACGCTTCTCCGCATCAATCCAACAAGTTCTCTAGCTTGGCTACGGAAACTATGTCCATCTGATTTCGTTCTCCTTCTTGTTGTTTTTGCGCTTGACTTCCCGTCAGCGTTGCCCACTGCAGGAGGTGGTCCTGACTCATACACTATCAAGGTGTCTGGAATCTTCAAGGTGGTATGTCTTGGCGGAAAAACAAGGTGCGACATGCGCGGAGCTTTGACGAGAGTCGACGCCATGTTTTCGTCACTCGTTATATTGTCGTTTAGTGCAGCATCCTCCTCCGTCATTGAGAACGACTCCGGCAAGACCAGACCCGGGCAGTGAAAGAATAGGCTTGGACTTGCGAACGGGTCAAACAGGTTGTCGGGTTTGTGGAAGAGAGCGGGCACATTCTCATGTATTTTGTGGAGATGGGAGTCTTTGAAGGGCGTTGACGGAAGCCTTGGCTCCTTTGCTCTCCCCCATAACCCGTTGACTCGGTGGTCGGGGAGGAACATGGTCCAGTTGAAGATTCCATTGTATGCTATCAATCCACGCACGCCAAACCTGGCGTGGGAGTGGGACTCTGTGAGTGCCAAGGAAGTGGCCAAGCTGGCTCCGAGGTACGACCCGTAGACGTAAATATCGCGGCGACTGGTTCCCGGAGGGGATAGGTTCTTGAGCAACCACGCCATGGCGAATGAAGCATCGTGAACCGGGGTCGGCCAGTGCAGCGGAGTTGAGGCGTTGACGTTCGACGAGGGGTCTGAATACGGACTCCAGCGGTATTTGATGCTCGCAACAGGTAGGTCGTGGAGAAAGGGTGGTAGCTGAGGAACGATGTCTTGACCGGGAAAAGGAGGCAGATGGACCAGCAGAGGATCTGTCAGAGACGACGCATCATGCATATTAAATAAGCTGAGGAAGCCTGAGTCTCAGCAGGAAGATTCTGAAATGATTTGATGGACCGCAGCTTTTCCTTACTCAATGGCCACATGGCCGGCGGAACCGCATCGCACCTCAACCCTCTCCGGTACAGCAGTGCTAAATGGCCTGTTGCCTGTGGCTTTTAGCAGAAGGCGACGGCTCAGTCGACAGGTATGATGCCAGGAAGTCATGGCGGAGCAATGCCGCTACAGCGCATTGTTGCGTGCGTCTGCAGAGAGGACGTGAATACAGAGGGCATGGAACGACTGCAAGAACATGTCAGCATTGGCCCTCTGAACAGAACCATCAAACTCTGCACACTTACTGAAGAATACAGTCACGTCACGTACGGGTCGCGCCCTGATCAAAGTTGCAGTACGTTGCAGTGAGCTGCGAGTACGAGGCGGCCGCGACAGTCGAAAATCGCGGCGCCAAGGTGGGGGGGGGGTGGTTTGGGTGGTTGGATTCGATGGTCGTGGGTGATTCGACTCATCGCACCCACGTCTGATCCTTATCCAATCGCGAGGAACTGGCAGACAGCAAAAGCGGGGCGGCGCAAGCGTGGCCAAGATCCGAGACACCGGCGCCAGAATCGCCAGGTGCCGTCCAGTGACCAGTCACACTGCCTGCCAGGGCAACCAGGACTTGCCTGAAGAACCAACGCCAATGGCGCCTTCCCTGGCTGGCCGCGGGACCATGAGCCATGTCGAGCGTCGAGAGTCGAGACTGCGAGCATCGAGGCGAGGCGAGGCGAGGCGAGGCGAGGCTGGAGTGTTCAATTGACGTGATCATTCAATGTTGTCTGCTGATCGGCACATGCAGCCTTCCCAGGCGACACTAACGAGACTAATGAGAGCCCCCGAAGCTGCTTACACGGGCCATTTCCACCACTGAGACCGCAGGAAGCCTCCCTCAGCTCAGCTCAGACCAGACCAGACCAGACCAGACGGCTTCTAACTGCTGAAATGTCCTCGCGACCTCGATTCTTCCACCAACGTCCTTGATTCTTCTATCCACACCACTCCTTAGTATCGCCATCCACTGGGCTTGTTCGCTCCTTGTTATCCAAGTCTTCATCCTGCCAACTGTCCACCATCCTACGTCCTTTTCACATGCCTATCTCCTATATCAAGTACCTACCCACGTTGTGGTACCTGGCATACAGAGCTACCTACACGCGAGTTGAAAGTTCCCAACCGCTTCCTTAAAGCCTACCTTTATAACCTTATTCTTTTAAATTTATCGTTTTGTGAAGACTTTTTTTTTAAAAAACAAAAAACAAAAAAACAAAAAACAAAAAGAAACACCAATCCTGGTCATTCAGAAAAATTCTTGACCATCTCGATACATCGCAAAAACTCACAACTGGATCCAAGATCGATCTCGTTGAGCCCGAGTGGTTCCTCCCGAGTTCCAGGCATCATGGACGACGGCCAACATAAAGAGACCATTGAAAAGAATGCCATTACGGCGGAGAACCACATCGAGAATGGCACCTCCCGACAGGCCAACAAACAGCGCCCACGAGAAATGCGATTCCAGAATGATACGGCGCATTTGGTTCCGAGGTAGAAACCCCGTTTCAGCTCAAGCCTTTGTCCTTGTCTACTCGACGCAAACCGTGTGGTGGCTGACATGATGCGTAATAGCCGATGGTGGTTTGCCTCGTCTGCTTTTCCCATGATCGCTGCGACTCTTGGCCCTGTGGCCTCGGCGTTCAGTATCTGCGCCTTGGGATCGCAATGGAGACAACATGTCATGCCCGGAAAGAGTATCGATCAGGCTACATTCATACAGGACCCTGCTTGGTGCGTTGATCTTATCACGGAATCCTCCACTTGTCGAGTCCAGCACGCTCACTCAGCTCACACTTTGTTGTACGCTCGCAGGCTTACAATTGTCAACGCCATCCAGCTGGCGGTCGCTCTCGTTTCAAACGCTTTTCTTTTGTTGAATATGACTAAGAGGATTCGCTTTAGTATTGCTCAACCCATCACTATCATTGGCTGGTAAGAATCAGACATCCTGGCCCTCTTGTAAAAAAAAGGAGAACAAAAAACAAAAAAAAAAGGAAACTAACTTGGCTTAGGTACATCTCCGCCATATGTTTACTGTCACTCACTGCGACCGCGGCTGGGCCTTTGCGAGACGGTCTTGATCCACCGCAAGACTATATCTGGTCGCAAGCATTTTACTATGGCATTTGGGCTGCCATTCTCTACTTTGTTGACGCCTCATTGATGGTTGTTACTTTCTGGGGGGCTTCCGCGGGTCATTACGCCAAAGACTTCAATCTCACCCCAAGCCAGCGCACACTTATGCTCCAGACCATACTGTTTCTGTCATATCTCCTTCTAGGAGCCCTCATATTCTCACATATTCAGGACTGGTACTACTTGGACGCTGTGTACTGGGCCAACGTGACCTTGTTCACAGTTGGCTTTGGCGATTTTTCACCCACCACAAACCTCTCCAAAGCTTTGTTAATCCCCTATGCTCTTATTGGCGTCATCAGCCTTGGTCTCGTTATTAGCTCAATTCGAAGCATGATTCTGGAAAGAGGGCGACGTCGACTGGATGCACGCATGGAAGAAAAGAATCGTCGACGAATCATTCGTACCATGGCCAAGACTGGGCATGACGGGATTTTGAGTCCCATATATCGTAGCGTCGGTTCCAGTGGAGGTTCTCAAACATCAGATTCCAGCTTGCCGCAAAATGAGTTCGATCGCCGCCGAACAGAATTTCTGTTGATGCGAAAAATTCAACAGCAGGCCGCTATACGTCGAAAATGGTTGGCCATGATTATCTCTGGCAGTGTCTGGATCCTACTATGGCTCGTCGGCGCTGTTATTTTTATGCGTTGCGAGAAGCCTTATCAGCAATGGACCTATTTCGACTCGTTTTATTTCTGTTTTGTGTCCTTGACCACAATCGGTTACGGTGATTATACACCTCAATCAAACGGCGGAAAGGCCTTCTTCGTCTTTTGGTCACTCTTGGCCTTACCCACAATGACTGTTCTTATTTCCAATGCTGGTGACACTGTGGTCAAGTTTTTCCGCGATGCAACCATTCGCGTCGGAAACATCACAATTTTACCTGGCGAGGAGGGTTTCACTGGAAATGTCAAATATGTTGCCAACCGTTTGTCTTTTGGAAGAATCTTCCGCCATGCGACCAACGCCATTCGCGAGCGCGAATTGCAGAAGAAGCAGACGAATCAGACAGCGAGTATTGCAGGCTTCAAACTCGGAGATGTTGATGATACGACGAAGCAGAAGGACCATTCCCGCGAAAGCTCTGGCTCAGCCCCTCACGCACATAAAGACGAAGGTATCGATCGCCAAGGCAAGCACAAGTTTTGCGAACCTGCTGCAATTCCTGTGGGCAGGCCGTCCATGTCACAAGTTCGCGACCACCTTGACGATCTTCCTACTGGCACAGACCTACATATACTGCTTTCGAAAGAGATCCAGCTTGTAAGCCAGCATCTTAGAGAGCCTGAGCCTCGGCGCTATACTTTTGAAGAGTGGGCATGGTATCTCGGCCTCATAGGCGAGGACGAGCGAGACCCCAGGAGACACAAAAAAGCAGTTCCTAAGGAGAAGCACAAACGGCGAAAACAAATTTGGAACCATGAACCAAGGAAAGACAGAGATGCCGAGAGTCAGTTTACACATGCTACGGAAGTGGACCTGAATAATGCTCCTCCCGGTGCTGTTGAGGCCGCTGCCGAGCTCGGCATGATCAAGAGTG